ACTATGGAGATGCCACTTTACCTCCTGATGCCTTCATTTTCTCATCTGTAAAATAGGCATAATTAAACCTGTACTGCTCTCACTCTCTCTCTTTTACCCTCTCTCTCTTTTTCCCTCTTTCTCTTCTTCCCTTCCACCCTTCCTCTGTTCCTTCCTTCTGAGCATCAAATTACTCATCATTTCTGGAGTAGTGGATAGAGTGTTGGCCTATAAAATAAGATCTGGGTTCAAGTCTTGTCTTTGATACATACTGTCCATATAACCTAACCCTTGGTCAATCACTCAACCTCTTAGCATTATAGTCATCTTTCTAAGAATGTAAGTTTCAGGGAAGGTCCTGACCACTATTGATAAATTCCTCATCTGGGAATTCCCTAATGCAAGGAAATCACAGTTTCAAGTCCTTATCGTACTGTTATTTAGATGTTTCACAATACAGTATTTTTTTGTTTCTCAAAATAGATTGCAGGGTCAAAATAGATTGCAAGGTACTTAAGATACAGAGGGGACCTTAGAGAGAACATTTAGTCCTAACCCTTCATTTTACAGACAAAAATGAAATCTAGAGAGGGAAAGAAGGGTCTTGTTTAAGGTTACCAGGGTGTGTGTGTGTGTATGTGTGTACGTGTGTAGATGTATATATGTGTATATATGTCTATGCATATATGAATGCATGCATGCATGCATGTATGTATGTATGTATGTATGTATGTATGTATGTATGTATGTACATATATCCTTCTTCCCATAAGCCTAGTGCCTTATTGAATTCACTATGCTCCCTTTTCCCAAGCAGGAGGGACTATTGCTTGCTCTTCTTTTCTAAAAACTTATATTTTCGCCCTAATACCTTGAACTAAGTGCCAAGCACATGTCATTAATATAAATGTAATTGAGGTTTTAGGGGGAAAAGAGCTTTTCTTAAGGCTTAAGTCTAGTTAGTTTTCTTTGAGTTTATTACATAAAATTGAATTTCTATCTCTACTGTGGAGAAAACATATCATAAGAGATTTGTCTCTAGATATAAGTAAGATGTTTTTGACAGAAAAGGTTACTAAGATGCCATGGGATTTCTTAGTCTAAAAAGCTTTAAAATTGTATAGACTTAGGTTCTTAGCTGCATATATTGACTTAATATTGTCCTACTTAAACACACATAAAATGACTAAAACGACAACAAATCTGAAGCATAAACACACGCACATCTTTTAAATTGGTCATATTTTCAAATGTTTAATTCTTCAAGAAAAATCCAAATGTTCAGGAATTTTAAATTCATAGATTTGGAAGAGACCTTACAGATTATCCAACTTCCTTGTACGAAAGAGACATTGTTATTGTTGTTTAGTCATTTCAGTTGTGTCCAACCAACTCTTTATGACTCCTTTTTTTTTTTTTACAAAGATACTGGAGTGGTTTGCTATTTCTTCTCTAACTTATTTTACAGATGAGGAAACTGAGGCAAGCAGAGATAAGTGACTTGCCCAGGGTCACACAACTAGAAACTGTCTGAGGCCAAATTTGAATTCAGGGATGTACAAACTAGATAATTTTTTGGAGGATGGGCAAGGATGGGGAGGCACTAGCTGCTGGTGGGGAGATAAGGAGGATTTAGGAAAGGCTTCATGTAGGTTAACTTTAAGCTGAGTGTTAGAGCAAACTAGGTATTCTAATAGGTGGAGATGAGGAGGGACCACATTCTAGGGACTGCCAAAGCAGGAGATGGACTGTTGTAAGTAAACAACAGTAAGAAGACCAGTGAGACTACAAGACTGTGGGAGGGGTATAGTATGTGATAAGGTTGGAAAGGTAAGTTGAGACCAGATTGTGAAGAGATTTGCACGCCAAACAGAGGAGTTTATAGGTAATCTTATAGGCAAACTGAAGTTAGCTGAATAGAGAAATAGGGAAATAGGGAATAGGGGAAAAAACTCACACTTTATAAAAATCACCTTACAACTGTGAGGAGGCAGGATTGGATTGGAATGGGGTGATAGACTTGAGAGACACAGACATAGTAAGTTGCCATCACTATTCAATTCTAAGCTCTGAGTTCAAGTCCAACCTTTTAGAATCTAATAGGGCCATCAATTCTTCCATTAAATCATCCTGACTTACAGGCATATCCCATTTAGTGTCCCATGAAACCATGACACTAGTGGAAAATATTTTACAAAGGTCATTTGGTTCCATTGTAACAAGACTGAGCAATTCAGAGCCAAAGCTGTCCTGACTTGGAGACTGAAACATTGTCACAGGTGCTAGGTCCTAGCAGCTAGGACATTGTCATGGAATGTGGTTCTAATATAATCATCCAATCATTGTGAAATGATATTGGTTAAAGCAATAGTATGTGAGATATTGCTGTATTTGATTAAATGATAATATATTCTGTTTACAACTACATTACCCTGTTGAACAAAGGTGTATTAATGTATACATCCTCAAAATAGTGATCTCATCAATGTGGATACCGCCTCCAAGGCTGAGGATCCTAACCCCTCTGTACCTGCATATTTTGTGTTACTCTTGTTCATGTGTTCCTATAAATGTACCACAGGAGGTCTACCCAACATGCTTGGGGCCTTCTTTGCTCTATAGAGTGAGGATACCTGGTGAGCACTGCAGCTGTTCAAAGATCATCCCCTACTCTTACTCCAAGTCTGCCATGACTTCCTTTTAAATCAAGCATCTCTTTGAAGATATCTTTTACTAAGACTGTCTTTTGTAATTCCTTATTTGTGAGATCTTGTAACTTGTTCTCACCTACCATGTACATGCCTCTCCATTTCCCTATAGATGATACAAATGTTCAATTCTTTTGAGGCTGTTGGAGTATAAATATATCACTAGTTTGGGGTGGTAAAAGATCTGACATTTTTTATTTCCCCTGCCATATGGTACTTTCCCATCTATATAAATGTTTTTATGAGAATAATCCACACATGCATTCAGGGCACCCTTGATGAGTGTATTAGAAGGGAACAGGCTGGCTTTTGAAAGTGATAATCCATAGAAGATCGTATCTTTACCATCAGAAAACTGACTTAAAGACAGAATGTAAGATCCCACTGTGCAAACTGTTTGTTGGCTATAAAAGTGCATTTTGTTCAGTGGAGCAAAATTCTGCCTGAAAAAGTATCTTCCAAGAAGATGTCTCCCATGTACATACCAAAGTTATATAAGATTGCTTTAAAGACAAAACAACAGAGCATAACCTTGTTTGATGAAACCTTCAGTCATTAATATTAAGTTAGGTATAAAAAAGAAAGACACCATCTTGTCAAAAGTATTGGCCACTTTCTTGGTGGAGTTATAATTCAGGGTCTAAGGCACAGAACAATTTCTCATAAAAATGAAATGCCAAGGTCTTCTTTCTTGTTTGTCAATGACGTTGTTCAACAAGTAATAATAATAACAATAATGATAACTAGCATTATAGTACTTTAAGGCTTGCAAAAAACTTTACAAATATATCTCATTTTTATCCTCACAACCCTGAGAAATAGGTACTATTATTATTATCTCCATTTTACATATAAGTTAACTGACTCACCCAGAGCCACACAGCTAGGAAGTGTCTGTGGTCAATGTGAACTCAAGTCTTCCTGATTCCAGGTCCAACACAATCCACTGTGCCACTTAGCTGTTTCTGTTACAATGGTAAACTTCTGGATGGATTGATCCATAACCAATGTAAAGAACTTGATCAAACCATGTGCATATCACAAACTGGATAACAAATGTTTATCATTCAGACATGATATGCTTTTAGATGGGCAACCCGTAGAACTCTCCGTTAGCATCTCCGACACAGATTCTTCAGACGGACGATGAATTTGGCCCAGAATTAAATGGGAGCAAAAGAGCATCTGGAGGGGCAGCTAGGTGGTGCATTGCAGATAGAGCACTGGCCCTGAAGTCAGGAGGACCTGAGTTCAGATCTGGCCTCAGACCAAACACTTGACACTTACTAGCTGTGTGACCCTGGGCAAGTCATTTAACCCCAATTGCCAAAAAAAAAAAGCATGTTGGATTGCAAAGTTATTTAAATGTCCCCAAGTTCTTCCTGATTAAAAACTCATCTTTTATTACTATTATACTCATAAGAAATGAAAATTACTGAAGAAAACAAAAACAGGAAAAATAGCTCACAGACATTAAGTATTATATCCATTTTCAAACAAGTCAGTATTTGTCAGATGCAGAACAAGAACCCAGTTCTTGCTAGACATCCATTGGCTATGCATAGATTTATTCTCATTCTCAGATTGTCTTCCTCAGTCCTCCACTCTCCCAACCCCTACTATTCCCACATGCTTTCTCCTCCTATACAATTGTCTGTATCCACCTGTAAATCCTCCATAGAGGATCTGTCCAACACACAATGGAGGCTTTCTTCTATTTTTGCTTTGAATGAATACCATATGGCATTGAGGCTGTATACATACAGGTCCACAGAGATACATTGATTACTCTGAGTATCACATTGCTGTTATGAAACTCCCTTACTCCTGGTGATTATTCCAGGTTGGAAACATCAAAGAGCTGTATTTCCTCCCTTTGGCAATGCAGTGATATTTTATGCTATAATCAGATGAGAGGATTTTCAATTGCTTTTCTTCATTCTGCCCTTTCTTATCCCCATTCCTCTTTTACTTACACTGTTCTTGACTAGAATTGCTTTCATCACTTCATCTTTTCTAGAGAAGTCTTTGTTTTTTTCAAGGCCCAACTCAGATGCCAATTCTTTCTATAAAGACAGGCCTGCCCACCAGCCACCACAGTGCAACATTATTTCTCTCATCAAAGTTTTCAAAGAACTTTGGCCTCTTTTTTCTTTTGTACTTGTCTTACTGCCTTGTATCAGTGTTATTTCTATAGTTATACTTTCTCCCATTTCATTATAAATTCACAGAGAGAAGAATCTACATCATATCTATCACTCATTAGTACATGACACATAATGTGTGCTTAATAAGTGTTTATTGATTGATTACCTGTCTTTATTTCCCCATGATGATCACAGTTGTCTGTACCTAAGGGAGTAAATGTTTGTTAAATTTAAATGAATTGTTGCAGAGTCATGGTACAGAGAAATATTTTACAATAGTATGGCTATAACAGTTACTGTAAGGTGAATTTCTGTTATGTGCACCTTATTTTATCCCTGAATTTGACGGTAAAATTAGACATATCAGTTATATCCCTTGTTACCTATGGAAAAAGGAATCTGCTCTCTAAGGTGAACTGTACAGGAAAAAATGTTATTGATATTTTCCCTTGGACCTCTTGGAGAGTACAGAAAGACTGGTGGAATGGAATTTATCCTCCTCCCCTACTCCTAATTGCAATGATTACAGGCACATGGCAGTATCCAGGGGAGGGGATTTCAGCTGTGGAGTTAAGTCACTGAGAAGAATCAAGAATCTGGTACCTAGATCAGAAATTGTCTTCCAGAAATGGCAGGCCCCAGAGCAGACATTCTGACCAGTTCTATAAATCTGGTCCTTTCTAAAACTGAATAGCAATGTCTTAGGCCAGTCTTTCAGTGGAGCCAAATATTCTACCAAATACAACCTAGCAGTGAAGCAGCATCTGGCACTGAGGCATCAGAGATGTGAGTTGTTCCTCCTTCGATGTGCCAAGACTACGTGTGTTCCTTATCCATGAGACTCCAAAGTTCTCAACTCTAATGTGTACTTTTCGTGTTGAATCTGTATCTATCTATCTATATTTATATCTATAGCTCTCTCTCTGTATGCAGACACACACGTACATATATTGTATATTTAGCTTATTGTATATTTGGCTATTAAAGCAAAGTACACTTGTAGGGACTTGTGAGTTATGATTTTAGGAGTGTGGACATACAGATTACTTTGAAGCTGGTGTAGTCATTCCCTAGGAACCCTGACCTGTGATTTCAGCAAAAGGGTAAGAGAAACCTAGAGAGATGACTATATTTTGGGGCTGATGTGGGATCTATTTCAGGGGCCCAATGCATTTGAAGAAATCCATTGGAGAAATTTTCATTCAAAATGTCCATTTAGAGAGGATTGCAGGGATCCTGTGGAGGGGAAAAAAAAGTAGCATTTTCAGCCTATAATGCGATGGTCAATTTTCTGATGTGTTTCTTTTACATGTAGACCAGTTGCTTTGAGATAACTTTTGCATAGCTATATTGAATACTTAAGTGATGATATCTGGTGTGTCACTGTTTCCTTTATTTGTATAGTATCTGATATAAGTAGAATAAATGTTGCATCTCTAAAGTATTGGAACCTGGCACTGTATCCTAGAGCACACCATAAGCACAACTACACTAATTTTTATTTTATTTTATTCTGAGTGAATCTAGATTGTTTGCCCTGTTGTGGCATGAGTCCAGACAGCTTGTCCAAGTTTCTTAAGGATTTCAGGTACCTAGGATAAGATATGATTTTTGGCCTGGAGTAATGAACCCTAAGTTCTTAATATTCTTTTTCGGCACACCATATCTTCAGGGCTTTTCTGAGTTTGACTTATTTTAAAGCTACTCTGTTTTCCTGCTGGGGGTGAGGGAGAGGAATTATGAATTCAAATCTCCATTGGAAATACCCTTCATGTTTCAGGGATTGGCTAGAGAAATTTCATTTGCTTTACATGTTGCAGGGACCCATTATAGAAATTTTGTGTTGCCTAGGTACTGACAAAATCCATTATAGGAAATTTATTCAGAACAGTTTAGTTTATCATCTAAAGGACAGAAGGTAACTTTCAGTCAACTCCAGGTCCTGAATTCTTATTGCAAGAGCTCAATATGCTCTGACAGTTCATTAGGAGCCAGACTTTGCCTCTAAGAGGGAAATCCTATTTGTTTTTTTCGGTTTTCATTTCCTTATCTTTGATTAGGGGTGGGCCTTTGCATGCATCAACAAAGTAAATAATAAGACAACAGAGAACTTTTTTTAAATGTCATTCATTTGAATCTGCATAACCAGGATTTTTTTTTTCTTGCAGGAGGTGAATGTCTAAGCCCACAAGTTATGGAAGGTCTGGCCGTTACATAAGATTTAATTATCAAATGGTGTTCAAACCGTGAAACATGGTCTTTATTTAAACTCTTTAATTCTAAGCAATGGAGAACCACTTGAAAGGATCTTGATGGAGTCATAAAGAAATTCCTCATTCAAACTGATAAAATTATAAGGTATTGGCTATTGACTGAAAACAATTGAAGGACACAGGAAACTCCCAGAGATTGGTCTCCTGAAGGATCAGTCATGACTTGGTTACCTTTAAAAAGTGACAGTCAGCTCTGAGGAAAAAGTCAAGAAAAGTATCATTATTGGAAGAAGAATTCAGCTTTTGAACTCTTGAGCAGCTCTTGCAGAGTTCAACAAGGAGCAGAGTTTCCTTCCTTTTCATCCCAATTGGTAGTTGTTTTATACAGCAGTGATACATGGCTATAAGAAACATTTCATCTAGTAAAGAATAGACCCAAAGAGTAGAGATATTGAGAAACGTTCAGGAGGTGGGGAAGTGACAGGGTAGCTGAGAAGGTGACTCAAAAGAAGATGGGAAAAAAATAAAGTGAAGTACGGCCAAAGCCTTCCTAGATATGTTGGGCACTGATAAATTAGGATATCAGGGCCCCAGGGCAGAAATCCCATACTTCAAAGTGTTGAATCCTACAGGACATTTTCCCTAGCCTAGATACCAAAATTATTAGTAGAAAGATGCCTGGGAAATAGAGTGAAATGTGACTGAATTCTTTCTAGATAAAAGGAGTGAGTCAAACTCTTTTCAGACAAAGTCAGAAGGCCTAAATACTTTAGCCATACATTATTATATATGATCTTAATTCAAAACATTCTTAGGCTATGTTGGTTGCAAAATGTTTAAATTCAGTAATGAATATTAAGAACTGAAGGTTTTTAAAGCTGTTTGAAGTATATTTATAAATTAATGAAAAAACTCCCTTTTATTTTTCAATAAAGAAATAAGAATATGAAAAAGTTCTAGAAGGATATTTTCTGAAGTTGGTTTTATATAATAACTCATTTATAATCAACTTGGGAATTTTTCCCATTTATTGTTTTTAACAAAGGTGTCATTAGAAGGTTCTTTGAGTCGATGAAACTGAAGACAGTATTTTCTGTTCATGGTTTGAGTCCATAAATTGATTACTGTATGAAAATAAAAATTAACAGACATTTCACCATTTTTCTTCTAAATTAAGCTGTTGGGATTAAGGTTTTCTTTGTGACTTTTTGCTTTTATGCTAAGCTGCTTTATTTACATAGATTATCTTTCATGTAATTTTGCTTGGCCTAGCCATTTATAATAGACGACTAATTCTCTACTAAGAATTCACTGTACAAACATGCTTTCTCTTCTTAATATGTGCAACATAAAAGAGGTAATTAATGAAGTTACATCTTTTTTGACAGCTTAAGACTATAATTAGCAGCTTTGAAAGCATAAGATTTTTCATTCCCAAAATTAGGAAAAATGCTTTGATGTCTTTTTTTTTTTTTTGGCTCAGGTAGATCAGGTATGATGGGTGTGGAATGTGATTCAAATTTCCTGTTAACCCATGTATTCACTTCTGCTTGATGGCTTGCCCTTGACTTATTAAAACATGAGGAAAGCCCCAGGATAGCCTGGTTTTGGATATGATAAATTTGACATGCTCATGAGATATCCAGGTGTACATAAGCTGTGCAAAGCTGGAAATCTGAAGAATTGAGGAAGGAAGTAAGACTGCAGTGAAGAGACAAGCATGAAGCAGTAGTTAGAGATGAAAGGAAGTGTGGTTAACTGTTCTCATCCTAGTGTTATATCAAAGTAGACAAGATCTTTAGACCCTTTGATACAGGTGATAGGAGGTAGGTAATGGGTAATATTTGAGAAGAGTCTCTGCAAATTGTTAGGAATGAAAGCCAGGTTATAAGGGGTTAGTGAATGAGTTCATTGACATTACATATAGATAACATTTTCAAGCAGGTTGACTATGAAAGGGAGAAGAGATAGGATGGTATATGGAAAGGATAAAAGGGTGAAGGGAAAGACATCTTGGAAATGAGGAGATATGTGTATATTCATAAGCAAATGGAAAGGTGTCAGGATAGAGAAAGTGGATGAGAAAGAGATGATTGTTGCAACAAGGGCCTGGATGAAGTAGGAGAGGATGACTAAAGCTATACCTAGAGGGCCTTTTCATGCATTTTCAATGTGATGTTAACTGGAAAGAATTATGTTTCTGGGATATGATTTGATATATCTTTTACTGCAGTTTTACCATAGAAATAAGTATTTTGCCTCCATCTTTGTAGATGGTACCAAACTAGGTGGCACAGTGGATGGAGATCTGGGCCTGAAGTCAGGAAGACCTGAGTTCAAATATAGCCTCATATATTTATTAGCTGTGTGACCCTAGGCAAGTTACTTAACCTCTGTTTGCCTTAGTTTCCTCAAGAGTAAAATTGGGATAATAACAGCATCTATCTAGTAGGTTTATTGTAAAGCTCAAATAAAATAATATTCGTAAAGTACTCAGGAGAGTACCTGGCATATAGTAGATGCCATATAAATGCTTGTTCCCTTCTCATCTACCTTAGATACTGTTCAGCTATAGGATCTATAAAAGGTCTTGCAACTTTTTAAGTTTAGTTGGACCCACCTAACCTTAGTCTTATAGGCAGTACACAGCTATTCCCCCCCACCCCCAGCTTCAGAAGGGAACTTCTTTTGGACATAATATGCAATAGTAGTACTTTGATCAATATACGAAATAGTCAATTTGCCTTTACTTAAATAATAAAAAGGAGAAATAGTCATGTATATAATTCATTCTCAGAATGTGAATTCAGTAAGGAGGCAAAACAAATGAGCGAAGAGAATTTTGAAGTTCAAAAAATTTTCATCAGATATTCCAATAACCAAATTCTATTTTTCCTCTTATAAAGGCAATTAAAAAAGATAAAAATCCATAATAATTGAAAATCCAGCTATCTCAAGCTTATCAGAAAGGAGCTAGCCATCTTAACATCAC